CTGCCACAACCTTCTCCCAGCGCTACAATCCAGGCGAGGCCTAGGCTTCCTTCTTCCAAAGAGCAGGCGCTTTCCAAAGGAAAAGCAGATTTCTCTAAACCCAAAGCCCAGAACCAAGGGCAGTAATCCGCCTCGGCCCCGGGGAGTCTTCTTCCCAAACCTCCCAGCACAGCCCCATGGCCCAGGGCAGGCAGCGCTGGCTGTGATGCTCCCGAGCCTGGACTGTTGCTCTGCTCTCTGCCCACGGTGCCGACAGACAGAAAAAGGCGGGCGGCCCGAATTAATATCTATTTTCTAGCTGATGTTCCTCCCTCCCCCTTGGTCTTTTTCTCCTCCCTCCTTTCTTCATCTCTTTTCCTCCGCCCCCTCCCAAGTCTGCTTCCCTCCCCCAACACTGCGCAAACAGGTCGATGTTGACTGAAGGGCATCAAGCCTTCTCCTACCCAGAGCTGTCCATCCTGTGTTCCCCCGCCCTACGGCTGGCACCCCCCACTCCCATTCTTCTGGCACCCTTGTCCTCAGCCCAGACCCCCCCCCCAGCGCACTTATCTGCCTCCCTATCTCCATCCTAGCCCTGTGCCTCTCCATTTCTGGCTCCTGGTCGACGCCCCTGGATCTGTCTCCTAAAATGGCTCCCTGGACACTGCACACAGCCCCCGCGATCTCTCAGGACCCAGGGCAGCGGCGGGGCCTCAGTAGGCGTTTCTGCTATATCTGGGGGAGGGGGGTGCAAAAATTTTCTCACACCTTCTCTCTGCTCGCGGCTTGGAGTGGGGCGCAGGCAGCCGGTCGCCCCCAAAATGAAGCTTGCTGACCGCCGAAAAGGGAAATGATGAGGAACCATTCAAGTTCAACGACATGGCGACGGCAGCTCCGGCGGGAGCCAAGCTTTGGTAGGGGAGGGCGCGCCATCTGCAGCGGCTCGCGGCGCGGAGGGGAAGGGAACGAAGGCCCCCACCTCCGAGCACGAGCACCGCACATTCGTCCTCCCTCCCCACGCCACTCGGGGCATTCGTTCCAGGCCCAGCCTGCTCCCCTCTTTGACCCCCCACCTCTCTGTTTGGTCCTCACCCTGAAAATCAGGGGGGAACCGCAGCCTCCAGACCCGCGCGTCCCGCTCGAGAACCTACCGTGAGGACCGTGGCCTTCTCCTTGCAAGTGCGGCCCCACCCGAAAGGCAGGGAGCACACCAGGCCTTCGGGGTTCGCCAAGCAGCTCCGCCAACGATAGCTTTCCGCGCAGAGCGGAGACGCGATGCGGTCATTTCTAGCCACCCAAGATAAGACACTAACTTGACCTTAACTTTGTCGGGGCGCCCCTGGTATCTGGAGAACGTGAACAGACACTGTCTGGCAGCTCTCGTAAAAGCTGACTGGGGAAGGGATTCTGAGTCATTTCATTTATTGCCACTACAGTTCTGCAAGAAAGCTTTTCCTCCCTGCCAAACTTTAATTATTTATGCTCTTTTAGGAAACGAAAGAAGAGAAAAGCGGGAGGGGGAAAAAAAAGAAAAGAAAAACACCCAGAGCCAGTCCGTTCCCTACAGAGCCTTCGGAAAGGACTCCCTTAAGTATAGCAACTGAAGAACAAAAATGAGGGGAGATCACCTTTGTCCAAGGACAGTCGGACCGGCGCCGTGCCCCACCACCACCAATGAGGGGAGTGGGTGCAGCTGAGAGATGGGCCACACATACGCCTCCCTCTCCCCCCTCCCCGCCAGACATGAATATTTACAACAATTCTGGATTTCTCCTCCACCGGCCGGCATCCCGGAACCTCCCCAGCCCGCCTCCCTGGGGAGAACCCCGGGCCTTAAAAGCTTCCCCCCAGCAGTCCTCAGAGCTAGGGACTGACGGAAGGCGGGGTAAAAGGTTCTTTCTCTGCTTAAAAACGTTTTCTTAGTTAAAGGGCCTCGCGGACCCCAGCATTTCCGAGGGAGGCATTTGTTTTTCTGCGAGGGAATGCCGAGCGCTCAGATTTCAGCATCATTTCTTTCTAGCATTGGTTTCATATGATTTTCCTCTTGGCTCCAAATTGCTAGGGAGGAAGACCACGGTCTTTGTGTTTGTGTGGATCAGCAAAGGGCATGCATTTGGGAAATAGGTCTGAACCAATAGAAAAAAATTACACTTAGCATCATTTAATTCTCTTCGAAGGGTGGCCCTCATGAATATTTCTCCCATCGCAGACTAAGGGGAAAGAGCAGGATGATCTAATGGTATATATATATATATATATATATATATATATATATATATATATAATTTTTAAAGAAGCAGTCTATATGTACTGTTTTGGGATCTGGGTCTGCATAAGTCTGACTTCTTCTCCCTTTCCTCAGCCTTCTGGACTTCTTTTGATGTGGCTTCTGCCTTTGTTCATTTGCCTTTGAGGAAGAAAACCTCTGAATACAGAATAAGATTCTGAAGCTTGCTATGAGTCGTACACATTGCTTTGTCCAGCCAGGTGGGGAAACATGTCTAACTATAGGGCCTTGCAGCCTCTTTTCTTTCCATTGTGTGTGTGTGTGTGTGTGTGTGTACACACATTGAAAGAAAGTGATTTAAAATATTTTTAAATGTAAATCTAATTCATTTTCAGAGAAGGGGAGTTCGAATGTTGAATGCTCAGTATTAGAGATTTATTGTTTTTGCTAATTCTTCTTCTAACCGAAAGCTAGCTTCCACCTCAACCACTCAGGAGCCAGGCTGTGCAAGGGAGTTAGTACGAAGCAGGCCCTGGCTTTACTGGACAGAATTAGAAGCTCCAAAGGCCTACAGGGTCTTGAGGCCACATTTCCCAAGGGGCCTATTGGGATCCTGGTGGAGGTGCCTTTGGATCTTCATAGCCCGTTCCAGAAAAGCCTGACCACAACTTTGGCAGACTGATGTTTTGTTTTGAAATCTGAGGAGCTTCGAATCTTGGCGCCCCCTCCCATGATAACAAGCTTTAAAGTTTGAGAATTTAGTCAAAATGCAGAAACCCTAACTCACAACAAGCTGAGAATTTCCCTTCATGTTGGAGATACATTCAGTTCTGTCTGTCTTCCTACATTTGGCTATTCCATACATATTTTGTTCTTAGGTTTTTATGCCCTACTTCCTAACTGCGTTGGAAGCCATTTTCTCATTTAATGAACAGCCAACACCCAAAGTGAAACTTCAATCAGGAAAAAAAGAAAGAAAGAAAAATGAATTTGGTGGCTTGACAAACATTACAAAGGAATCCAAAATGTTATTTTTATATAAAGAATCAACATCACCCCCTTGACAGCTTGGCTGGAACCTGGATATTTATTTTCACTCAAAACATTTCTATGCATCTAATATATACAATGAGTTATTTTGACAAAAATAAAAGCAAAATATGTATGGCAGCTCTTAGCAAAAAAACAAAAAAAAATTTAAAAGACACCTGCCATTAGTCTAAACACCAACTGAGGTCACTTGGACTGCAGCTAACAGGTTCCTCTGAGGTGCTCTCCTAGGTCCAGGCCCTGGTTCTCCACTAGAAAAAAAAATCATTGGATTTCAGGAAGACTGTTGGACATTTTGCTAGGAGTTGGAGGGAGAAGGTTACTACATTTCAGAAGAAAAGGCAGAAGAGGCTTGGGGCGGAGGTTCACTGAGAGTAAGTCTGGACACCCTAACACACCCAGAACAACTCCATCTGGTATAAGGAACCCCAGAGTCCACAAGGCAAACCTGCCAGCACTTAATGCCTTAAAAGCTTCACAGAGACAGACCAGACCGGTCCCATAGAAAACACAGTTGCTGGGCCTTTGGTGGAGTTGGTAGGTGATGGAGAAGGTGAGAGAGAAGTTTCCAGTTTTGTTTGCTTTTCAAGAGAAGCAACCAGAGTCTGAGAATCTTAAGAAATCTCTTTCCTCCCCCCATAAAGGTGGAGTTTTTACTTCTTCTTGGGGTGGCCCAGTAAGGTCATTCAAGAAAGAAAGACATGTCAACACCTTTACTCACCTCAAGAGGAAAGTCATATTTATAACTCAAGTGTACCCTCCCCTTCTTGCTTACTGCCTTCTCCTTCCCCAAGATGTGCTTCCATCCTTCCTGTGCAGCCAAGCCTCAAAACAGACCAAGCAGCTCCCCTCACCAGAGCTCACCTTTGGTGGTCCAGTTACAGGAGCATGGACTTAGCCTGGGAATGTGTCAGGAGGTGGGAGTGGTAGAGGAATTTTTGCCAGGCTCTCTCTCTCTTTTTTTTGAGATTGCAGTTTGTTTTGGGGTCTGAGTCTCTCTCAGACCCCCCCCCCTCTGGAAAGGAAGGCTTTCATCCCAGCCCATTTTACCCAGACAGCCTTCTCAGGAAACTCTGATTTTGTCTGGACACCCTGCTCCAGCCCTCCTCCCCTTTCCCTCAGTCTGAAGGTCTAGGGCAGCTTTTGTCTTTCCAAACCGTCCAGGGCAGCTGGGAGGGGGGGGGGACTGGGCCTTTCCCTTTCTTCAGAGTGTACATTCTGGCTTGGCCACAAAGAGCTTTTACTGCAAAGGGAACGATATTATCCACAGCCCTTTCCAGTGAGACTAGGTCTCAAGAGCTTCCTGTGTTCATGTTCCCTCGCAGATCTAGCTAGGCGCCTGCTAAATGCAAGCAAGGCTAGAGAGAGGGAGACAAGGAGAACTAGCGGGTTTAAAATAGGAAGTCCAAGTCCAAGGATTCTATAGTGAGTCCTGGTTGCAAATGCCCCCACCCCCTCCACCAAAAGCCAAGACAGGTGTCTTCCAGCCCCACGTGGAAACCGTGAGGCCAAAGTTGCTTTGCAATTCCAAAACGCCCCTTAGGAGCTTCTCAGAGAGAGCAGAAAGCAAAGAGGCCCCTCCCTAAGTGGCCTCATCTCCAAATCCCGTACTGGCTTCTGGGGCTGTAGAGTGAGCGGGAGTGTCCTCAGACCCGTGAAGAAGGAGCCGAAGGAATCGCTTCAACCCTCCACCAGGCCTTGGTCCAGAAAGGCAGGCCTGGCGCAGCGGAGGCCACGCGCGCAGCTAGTAGAGCGCCAGCGCCTGCTCGCGCAGCACCACGCGCTTCTTCTTCATACGCCGGTTCTGGAACCAAATTTTGACTTGCTGGTCGCTGAGGTTCAGCCTGTTGGACAATTCCTTGCGCTTCTGCCGATTGATGAATTCGTTGGCGAGGAATTCGTTCTCCAGCTCGGCAATCTGCTGCTTCGTGTAGGGTTTCCGCTTCTTCCGGGCCCTCCCCGGGGCTGCCCCCCACGGCAAGCCTGCAACACAGCCCCCACCCGTGTCAGTCTGGCACGCTCCCGGCCGACTGCCCACCCACCCCCCTCCCCGGCCTTCTACCTCCCTAGGCAATCCTGCCCCCACCCCCACAAGCCTTCCCTGCACCCCACCTCCCATCCGGGCCCAAACGGGCCTGGGGAGCATGGGCACCGGTTACCGTCGGGCAGCGAAGGTCGCAAGCAAGAGGCGACACCCGCCGCCTGCACTGTCATGTTCAAGTTGAGCGGGCCCTTGGTGTCTTCCTTGAAGCTGGAGGCGCAGGGGGCCCCCTGGAGCAGGGTCGCCGAGCCCGGCGCCGAGCGGCCCACCCCCGCGTAGTCGTACTTGACTGCTTTGAGAGCAGCGGCCGCCCCTGCAGCCAAGCTAGACTCCGGGGTGTAGGGTGGTCGCGTACGGCCACGCTCCTCAGGCCCCGCAGCTGCTTCAGGAGTGTAGAACTTGACCTGGTCTTCCGGTCCATCCTTGGTGCCTGGAGGCTGCAGGCCTAGAGGCCCGGAGCTGGCCAGGTATGGCTGCGAGAAGCCGCTAAAGGCAGTGGCGCTGGCGGGCTGCGCGCACGAGCCGGGCGTGGCGGCCCAGGGCAGCGCGCTGCGCGGATAGGAGATGGGGGGGAGCGCGGCCAGCTGGCCGCCATTCGGCCGCAGGTTGGAAAAGTAGAAAGATTCGGGCGACTGCAGATTCAGAAGCGAGCCCACATAGCCCGCTCTGTAGAGACTGCGCTCACACATCTCCAACAAAGGACTTGAGCTGCTCTCGCAACAGTATTTAGTTACAGCCGGGAATAAGAGGACAGGCTCAGACGATTGGACGAAACTTTGCCTGCAGGTTCTTCAAAGCCGGTCATTTCAGCACCGCCTACATCCCCCCGACCCGTTTTCCCCCCCTTCAGGGTATTATGATAACACCCGCAATGTTCGATGGCGAACGACTAGGTTGCCAGCAAAGCCCAAAGCATGCTGAGCCAGAGGGAAAGCCTTTGGGAGTTTGCAGGCCTGCCTTCAAGAGTTGGCGACATTGCGCTGAGGGTGCCTTTATTCACGTGTCCCAGGGGACCCTGCTCAGTCTTCATTGGCTTCGGGACCTCGTTTTCCCACTGGCTACGGGGGCCGGGCTTGGTTCCACCGGCTTTAAGTTGCAACTGGAACATTCTTCTGTTAGGGGTGGCTCTGTGCTTGGCTGGAGAAGGCGAGGGTCTAGCGGAGCCATCAACTCGATCCCTGGGTCTGAACAATACCCCTCCCACCTGAACCCCTTTCAGGCCACGGCCCAAAGGGTCTAACAGCTACTCATGCATTGCGTGAGTCCCAGCCACAGACACAACCCACGATGTTCATCAAAGGGAGAGAAAAGCATCGTAAATTCTACCCAAGTTTGGCGACAAGGAAGGAAGTTCCTTCACCTCTGGCGTTGGAGCCCAAGTCCAAGAACTCTGCCCCCAAGGAAGTTGCCATCCAGGTCCGTGAAGAATGCCACCGGGCAATCAGGCAGCTCCAGTAGTTAATCTTGGCCGTTCCTTTTATCACCAGGAGTCACCTTGACTACTCCCTGTAAGCCGGAATCCCACCGTGTCCATTCCTTGCCAGGCACAGCAGGACAAACTCCATAGGTCTTGGTGTGGAGGAACAAACAAGCCAGAGCCACCGGGCTGAGAAGAGCAAGAGCACACCGAGGCAGGCGGCCAGTTAGCTGCGTGCCTCGCCTCTGCGGCCCAGGGTCGGGAGGCTGGCAGGTTCACGGGTCTGGAAAACGGAAACGAGCAGGGCGGCAGTTTCTAGTGGGGGCAGCGTCCGCAGCTCTCAACTCGGGCCCTCCAGTGTAGCCCAGCCAAAGATCTAAGAATCTTCTACCTCCGGCACCAAGCCCCCCGAGCCCCTGTGACGGGCGCTAGCCCTAGCCGGCAGCAGACAGGACCCACGTCCCTGAGCCAAGCTGGAATTGGTTAGACCGCCAGCTATGGCGGAGACCACACAGGCGCCGCCGGAGGGCAAGGCTGACCACCGCGCCTCCACTTTATTGTGTGAGTTATGGCGACCAATTGGGCGGCTCGGGGGAACGCAACTGGCCTTTCTCCTGCTCTAGGGCGGGGGTGGGGTAGGAGTTGGGGAAGTGGGGGGGGAGCCCTGGGCTCCTCAGGGCATTGCCAGTTTCTTCAGGAGCTCAGGCACGAGCGATGCTCTATGCTCCCCATCTTTCCATGCGAAGTGGAGGTAGGTACAAGCTACAGACCCAGTTCCTAGGGATTTGATGACATCCTGAGGCGTTGGTTCTCCAGTAACTCTAACTTTGTGGAACTATGATGTCCCAATAGTCACAGGCCGGAAAATTCCAGATCCAGGTGTGTTTGCAGTCTAGGTGCTTCTTGTCTCAATACACTATTATTCTCTAGTATTTGTATGCCTTGGGGTGTCTCCTCCAATTCTTGGGCAGCCTTACAGCAACCGTTTGTCCCTTGGGACTAAATGAATAAAAGGACCTAAGTGTGAAACAGGTAAGACCAAGACACCTAGACTTCCTCCGCTGCCCCAACCGTTCTCCTTTATCCCCCGGGTTCTCGACTTTAGAGATCTGATAAGCAAAGTCTTATTCGTAAAGAGCTAGGAGCTGGAGGCCCGAAGGAGGGTGGGAGGCGGGAAGGAGGATTGCTTGACTCCTCAGCTAGAGAATGAGGCAGGAGCCTGTGGCGCAGGAGCTAAACCGCTAGTTCTGCCAATGCCTCCAATCGCCCAGGAGATGGCGATCGCGCTCCACGCCTGGCGAAGCGCCGCCGCACGGTCAAGATCAACAGCGAAGGGCGGCGGGGCCGGCTGGGGGTCGCCAGTCGGCGCGGTCACGGCCCGCAGCTGGGAGCTGCGGATAGCCTCGGAAAGCTGGACGTGGTGGCGGCGAGGCTGACACCGACACGGAACCCAGGGACTAGACCTGAGGAAGCGTAGCGGGAGCGCCTTTGTCTCCTCCTGTATGCCAGCTCTGAGTCTTCCCTTCGCCTCTGAATCTCGTAGACTCGCTGACCCCGACGCCCCACCGAAGCGCCAGAAATCTACCAGGTTTCAGAGCAGCTCTCCCTGCAGCTTCTGGGTCTCTAACCAAAGGAAAGGGCTCTATTCAAACTCCCAAAGCTTTAAGGCCTCTCTGCAGGCCTACTTCGCCGTGCCTGGGCCAGTGCAGGGCTCTACCTTCCTCCTCAATTTAGAATATGAAAGGAACACATATAAATAACAAAGCCTTCATCTGTTATTGATTTAGTCGTTAATCCAGATTCCACCAGAGAGCATTTGAGCGCAGTTTTAATCTTCAGCAAATCTCCTATTTCTCTTAGGCGGAGGGGAATTGACGAGTAAACTACAGATCAAAGGAAAATCTCTCAGCAAGCCCCTCTACCCACGAGGAGAAACCCGAGCAACGGACCTGGGGTATGGAGTTCTTCCCAAGAGCCCGAAACTGGCAAAAAAGAAGGGGAAGGGGCGACAGACATTGGAAGAAGGAAAAGCAGGCCCTTTTCTGATGAAAATACATCTTGTGAGGAAAAAAAAACACAAATAAACCAAAACACAAAACAGCAAGCAAAAGTTTGACCCTTCCTAAAGTGTAAGGTCTAGGATGATGTGGCTCTAGTTTCAGGGGTTATTCTTCTCCAGAGATTAAATCGCGGTTCTGTGTAACTCTGCTTTTTCTCAAAACGAAGTTGGCTTTCCGCAGTCCATAGTAAGATATAAAAGAAATCAAGCTGGGCCAGAGAAAACGAAAGTAGTTCCTCACTTTAGGTCCCAGCGCTTTCTCACGGAACCATAAGGGAGCCAGTCTATCAAAAGAATCTACATATTGTGTAAGATTTTAAAAAATCTGTGTTTAACTGACTTGCATATTCAACTGTTGCAAATTATTAAATTGATGAAAGAGAAGTATAACTACACGGTATGCCTCAGTTCTTCAGTGGTCATTTCCCTGAATGGCAAGAAAAAACAAAACCGCAAAGAGAAAGTTTTTAGTGCCCCAAAATTGCGTCTAGCAATTAGGATGTATTATTGTGTTTTAATGGTCAGTCGCTGAGTACACACTAGTTGGAGAGATGCTATGGGATAAGCTTGAAATGTTTCTTTTTTGATCGCCAAATATGGATATGCAGTTCTAATTTCAAGACCTTCCTTGTTAAGATAGTTATAATGGGCCTCCTTGTGAGTTTTCTTTATACTCAGGCACACAAATGAACATCAATTTCTAAAAGAAATAAAGCTGTATAAATAAATGGATAATATTGAAAGAGAAATAAAATTTTATTGGAGATAGTTTTTGAGCTGGTTTGGTAAAAAAAACAATCATTTTACACATTTCAAAGGACACTCATGTTATAACATCATTATTTGTGTTAAATGGGGGAGGAGGCAGGAGGGGTGAGTCAGACATAGAGGTTTCAGGCACCAGAATTGGTGTTATGTTTCCTTCATCTATAGAGAGCATCATAGTGTTTAGAATAGCAAGAATTTATAATAAATAACAACAGTTTCTAGAGGCAACACAAGCTGGAAAGAAGGACACATCTATAAAGACTCAGAGGAAACAAAGAGAGTTCTGTTTATTGGCATCTCCCTAGGAGTAAAAATTGATTTTTAAATTCCTGAAGCACTGCTCACACACACCAGCTCACAAACATTGTATCTACAAAAATAATCCTCTCAGCTGTATAAATATACAGCACTTTAACAGTTGTTACTTAGCATAACTTTCAGAAGCATTCTTCTTCCTTCTTGGACCTAAGAGCTCCACAGTTTTTGAATTAGATGATTTAAAGCTCTTCAAGAGGCCCAATGCATTTGTTCAGACAGCTAAATACTTCCCTGGGTTCTGGATAGATGTTGCCATTCATGGCCACACTGGCTCAGTCTTTCCAGGAATTGAGGAGAGGGCCTCCATTCCATTCCTACCAGAGGACAGGGAAGAGGTGCACTCACATCACCCTCAGGTTACTCTGCCAATTGTAGTTATTTTAATACCTGCTTTTGAGTTGGAGAAATGAAGGCATCCAGGAGGAAATATTTTTTTCAAACTAAAGATTATAAAAGTCAGGCTATCAGGTGTATTGCAAGTATGCAACTAAAACAGCAAGTGAGAGATTCAGAGTTGTAAAGATTGTCTTCATTTCAACAGAGAACAAACATGATTTAAGAAGGTAGTTACTTTTAAAGCCAGTGGAATGGCTTTAGCCCTGTTTTCAGACTTTCTCAGTGATGCCAGAGCAGTGCTTTCCACACGCCCCAGGGCAACTGCTGAGAGCTAACAATTCAAGTACCCCACCACTACCCCACCACAGGTTGTGAATGGCTGAAGCCTTTCTGGCCTAACGGATCAAGAAGACTAAGCGTGCTGGAAATTAATAAAGTGATTAAAACAAAAACCTTGAATCTGAATGGCACTTCTGTAATTAATTTGGGGGATTATTAAAAAATACTTCAAGTCTTTTACACTGGCCTGGAGGGAGAAACAGAACATAAAAAAATCATTAAAATAAACCTAGACAAGAACAAAACCAACAATAAGCAGTAAGAAGCTACAAAGTTAGGTTGGGCTGCAAGAAGTTTCAGAGCCAGATAAGGGTCATGAAAGAAAAGAAATTTCACAACATTTACCATCATAGGTAGGAGGGAAGGGGGAATTAAATACATATTCAAGTCTTTCCAAAGGTCTTTTGGTGACAACTGAAAAAATTTAAACTGTCCTTGGCCAGCCTGGCCCATATCAGGAGACAGTATCTTTGAGCTTGGAGACAATTTTCTTGTCCTTTACTCTTCGGTTCTGAAACCAAATGGTCACTTGTCTCTCCGATAGGTTTGTGGCAGCTGAAATCCGCCGCCGCTTGTCCTTGTTAATGAACTTGTTAATGGCATACTCGTTCTCCAGTTCTTTGAGCTGCAGTTTGGTGTAGGGTACCCTTTTCTTCCTTCCCCGACGGTAGACACACATGTCTGGCTGATTTAAAGCCACATCCCCTGGTACAAACAACAGCATGGGAAAAATTAGACTGGATACTTGAAGCACTTAACTCTGTGTGTGTGTGTGTGTGTGTGTGTGTGTGTGTGTGTGTGTACTCAGAGAGGTATAGAGAATAAAGAAAAACCACAATGTTTACTCTTTATTGTTATTTACATGCACATCTTCTTTATTAACTAAATACTATTTGAACTTCAAAACAGTGGCTACTTTGATGGATTATCATGGTTTCTCAAAGGGGCATCTTCATAAGCCTGTGATTTTAGGGCCCACTTATTGGGAAGCTCATAAGGACAGAGTGCCTGCAATTACCAGCTGCATATGTTCAAACACACACACACACACACACACACGCACACACACATTCAGATCTTTTGCTCAAGGCTTGATTTCTATGTTTCTATGTTTGGAGTTTCTTCAGAAGCTTTAGTGGTCTTTGGCTTGTCCCAGTCCTTGAAAGCTGGGGACTCAGACCGGTGACATCTTTTAGGAAAGAGGCCTGCCTCTTCCAGAGAGGGGACCCTAGTAAAGGGCACCGGGCACGCTCAACTTTGGGGGGGAAAGCCATCTGTATCGTACACAGGAAGAAAAAGATTGTGATAGCGTTTAAAGCGGAGGAGGGATTTACAGATTTCACGGGAACTATATTAACTTTTGAGCTCAACTTGGTCAGGCCTGGAGCCCGGACACCCACACCCAAATAGGGGCGCACATTCCTCTGTCTCTCCGTCTCCCCCTCTGTCTGTCTGTTTCTGTCTGTCTCTGTCTCTCTCCTCCTCCCTCTTTCCTCCCTTTTCTCCATAGCCCCTACCTGGAAAGGAAGATTTCCAAAAGTGGGACCCCTGTGGCTGGTCCTTGGCACAGTACACCTGGCTGTTCCACCCGTTGGTCAGCGTCCAGGACTGGTAGCCCTCCATGGAGATGTATGCTTCGTGCCTAGGCTCCCCGGAGCCAAAAGTGGACACCATGTCGATGTACCCAGGCACATGCTGATAGGGGCTCGTGTAGCCCTGGTAGAATGACACCTCCTTGGCTCGCGCGGGCACCTCGTTGGTGGGTACGCTGCTGCTAGCCAGGCCCGACACGTCCATGTACTTCTCCACGGGGAAGCCTCCGAGAGAGGCGTGCGGCGACGACTTGAGAGCATTCTGCTGCAAGCCCACGCCGTGCGACATACGGCAGCTATAATAGCCGTTGCCGAAGTGGTAACCATAGCCCAGCGCGGGGGCGCCGGGCGGCGCTGCCGCAGCCGCGGCGGGTGCGGGCGCGG